TTGTTTTTAAATAAAGAGTATGTATGAGAAGGATTCATAAGTTAGAAAGAACTGAAGATTTTTAGAATCAGAGTTCAGAAAGTTTTTCTGAATTAAGGCCACAGGTATATAGAAAGCATGAATTTGCTGCTTATGCCAAGCAACAAATATAATCATTCAAGTAATTTAAGAAATAAGTTCAGCAAGAATTTCAGCATCTGAAATTGTGTCCAAGAGAGCAAAAATACTCAGTGAAAACACAGTTTCTAGAAGAAAAAAAAAAAAAAAATTGTATATATATATACACACACCATGTGTACAAGAATCTCTGCACTTAGAGAAAAAGTAGAGTGATACAAACATATGTAATTAGCAACTGATAAATGTATAAAGAATATGGTAAATTATCCATCACTTGGAAATTTTTCAACTAAGCACGGATGTCTCACTGAAATATACAATTTAATTCAATCACAAACAGCTGGGAACACATCAACAGTTGCTGCAAAAATTGTGCAGCCTGAATCAGGTAAAAGAGCAACTAAAGAGATCATGACAATCCTGTACTGCTCTTCGTTGGTCCCAGGGAATGACTCCTGCCACCCTGCTGTAACCAAGAAAGAATTTTGACAAAGTAGTAGTTTATTTTTTAACTCTAACAAAAACCCACACAACTGTATCAACCAACTAAATCACTAACATGACAGCAAACAAATAAAATTATATCTTTGAAATCCTCTTTCCTCTTCACAAATGGCCACCAATTTTTGAAACTTTTCTCCATTCTCAAGCTGTTCTGACTTTAGTCAAATAGTCTGTATACAAGACTCTCTTTACTTTGCATAAATGAGCTCATATTTCTTTTTTTTTTTTTTTTAAGGGGGGGTGTTATTGCAGTTATCAGATTGACACCTGATTTTATTATGACATCTGAGAATGCTCAGGTTATGTATGCTTCCCAAACACTTAAAATAAAATACTACTAATAATAGTACTACTCATAAATAAACACAAAAAACCACAACCCCAAGATTGAAACAGTTACTAGCAAACAAGAACTAAGCAAAGATAATGAAATGGCAAGTTGAACCCTGATGGATAAATAGATTATTCTACACAACTCATATGAAGTATTAAATTTAAAAGCAATTACATATGATCTTAGAAGTTAATGCAATCTTTTACAGTAATCTAAACGTGTTTATCACCTATTAATTCTTGAGACCTTAATAAGAAAAAATAAATTTAAAGCCCAAGTCAGACAACCCAGTGCATCTCTCCAACAAGACAGCCATTGGCAGATTTTTATACAAGGGACACATTTCACCACGTGCTAAGTTTTATGGTGAATTTTACAACACTGGTAAGCAATTTCACCTTTATGATAACTTTCAACATTTTTTTTCCCCCCCTGTGTCTTCTCATACCTTTCCAAAATGCTGTATTTGGTAATGCTAAAATCTTTGAAAACCCAAGTTAAATTACACAGTGCTTCAGGTCAACTCAGCCCCTCTCTGGGGCTGGCACTGCTTCCAGGAGCCATCCGCATGAATTCTGGGTGCATTCACTGTGTGACACTAACGAAGGGGAACGTTCAGGGAGTCTGGCTGGCAGCATAACTCTGTTACAAGGACATCTGGGGATTACAGTGCCTGGCAAAACTGCATCTGCAGCCTGCAGGGATTAGGAAGGAAGGAGATAATTCACTGGAAGAGTGCTACTAACCTTACACATTTGAACAGATAGGAGAGGGAATAGTAGTAGAATAATTTCACTTGTGACTTGCCAAGTAGGCACTAAGGCAACAAGTCTTGTCTTTGAGACCCAAACTATAACATCAGCTCGTACTGTAACATGTGCCAGCACTCCAAATGGTGCTGCACTGAGCTAGGCAATTATAAATACGTTCCACTGCAGGAACACTGTGTCCACAAGGCAGTGTTGCCATGTTTAATTACTACTACACTACCTGCTTCTAATTATTTTCTAAATCTGGCTCTTTTTTTATGCCAAAACTTATATCACTTCCTAAAGCTACTAAAATGGCACAGTGACACCTCATGTAATGGGGAAACAACATGAAGTCTAAAAAAATCCCAATATTTATAACAAAACAAATTATACCTCAAGAGTTACATATAATGTATATAACAAAATAAAGAGTATGAGAATAAGGAACGAAGCTGTATTTCAGCAATTCAAAAGCAAACAAATTACAAATTATTGAAAACTCAACATTACAGACAAAAGAGCTTCAGATTTAGACTTGCATATCAAAGAAATCTAACCTGCTAAAACAACTGGAAGGCATCTCAACTATAAAGTAGTGGCACCAGCTGTATAAATGAGACATTACTGTATTTGTGATTGTGAATTAGAATAAAAGTAATCTCATTCATAGGGTTTTTTATTTGTGAGGGCAGGGGGCTGTAATTTGCTCTGCCATTCAGTTTAAAAAAAACCAAAAAAACAAAAAACATAAAAAGAGTAAAGTTAAGAAAAGAGGCAAGACAAGCAGTAAAAGTGTATTAGTAAAAATTAAATAAAAACATAACACACGAGGCAAAATTATATTATTCCCTTAAATTACAAGCAGAAAGGCAAGCAAACTCAGTTTCTTTTCTTGGTTGAAGATGTCGGTAAAAGTTCAAGATCTGTAGCTGCAAAAAGCAACTATACATGGTTCAGCCTCCATTCTCTAAAAAATCACTTTCAGCTTTCTCCTCTTCCTTCTCTTATATTCTTACTCTTGAGAGAACTTATCTCCATTCTCCGCTCTATTCCATTGTACCATTTACTTTCTCCTGTAAATCCAATTGTTCCTACCTAAGGGCTAAAACTGTAGATGGTAAGAGCAAAGGTGCACAGAACAGAGCTACTCAGAGTTTTATTGCATGAGTACCTGCTAGCTTTCTACATGGAGATGACTAGTTTGGTAGACCTGTGACAACAGTGAATGTCATCTATCCCGACTTAAGGCATGCAGTGTGTCCCATAGAGTCCTTTATTGGTTACATACGGACTAGGTAAGTAGACAATAAGCCTGGAAAAAAACTAGCTGGACCACCAGGATGAAAAGGTTGTAGTGAGTGGTACAAAGTCCAGCTAGCAGCTGGTTCCTGGGGGTGCCCAAGTGCTGATACCGGAGCCAGCAATTTAATATGTTTATTAACAATCTGGACAAGTTAATTGGATACACTTTCAGCCAGTCTGCAGATGATACTAGCTTGGATTTGTTTACTCTTAAGGTATGACAACTGAAGGGAGAAATTCTACTGCTGTCTTCAATTACCTAATGAAAAATCTGAGTAAGATGGAGCTCCTTTCAGAGAAGCACAGTGATAGGACAAGAGACAGTAGACAGTAAGTTTCAACAAGGGAAATATAAATTAGATGATGGGAAAGAAGTTTTCACCACAACGATGGTCAAACACTGAAAGAGACACCCAGAGAGGCTGAGGAATTTCCATCCTTGGATATTCTGAAGTACTGATAAGAGAAAGTTGGAGGAATACTATCTTCACATTTCTATCCTCTTTTAAAGGACAGGCTTATTAACAAAAGTTATGAAAATCATTGAGAATCACAGAATCTGAACACTAATAAGTTAAAAAGTTAAATAAGGAATATTATTTATTATAAAAGAGTTAAGATTGTTAAAACATCATTAGACCACATAAAGCTTCTTCCAGAATTCGTCTTGTAAAGTATCACGTGACAGCAGAGCCCTACAGCATTCATCTGTTCTGCAAAGCAGATTCAAGTCATCACTCTGCATTTGCCTGCTGTGCAGTGCTGCATGTACTATGAATTCACGTGTTTTTCTGGCTTCTTTGTGAAGCATGTACTGGAGAACTGCCATTGTATTTGCTCCCTGAGTTGTGAGGTGGGAAGACATTTACAATATTACTTCTATGTAATCTTCTCTTTATGAAGAGAATAGCTTATTTCAACATCTAAATGTCAGAGTGAGTAGAAGAAACTGCACAGGATTATTATCTCTGTGCTATATCTGGATAAGCAGAGACTTGACAGTTAAACAACTTTCTCTAAGTCAGAGAACAAGTAGCTGAAACAAGGACAAGAAATTAATACAAAAGACTCCAACTTCCAGTTTTTATGTTGGCAGTGAGAAAGATAAGCCACACATTTGCCAATGAGAGAGATAATATATATCCACATGCAAAGTGTTTCTCCTATTGGAGCATACACACTCCTTTTTGATAGCTTCTAGCCATTTATGGTCTGAAACGCCTGAGGGGAGCTGGATGTAATGAGAAAACAAAAATTCCTTCAGAATACAGTGTAAGAGCCCTTGTTTTACACTTACTACACTCTCCTCTGTCACTGTGCTCTTTCTTTTCCATTTCTTGGTACATCATCCCCTCCCCCCCAAAAAAGAATTTGCTTGACTACTAAATAGGAGATGACACGAATCGATACATCATTTAGAGAAAGAAATCAACAAACTCTTCTTGGGCTTTAGCAAGCCTCTTCCTACATCAACATTAGGGCAATTTAAAACAATACTTGAAATGCTTTTGCAACATTTGGCCAAACTCAATCATGCTGCCTTCTTCACATTTACTGAAGTAAGGGTAATTTTATTTTTAAATGTGCAGATCTGACCACTGAGTCACTGTCTCCTTTCCAAACCCAACTGTGGTTTCCCTGGGCAGACAAAATGGTCAAAGTTCCTCTGTCCAGCAGAAGAAGAATTAATAAAACAACTCTTCCAAAGTAGGAACAGACTGACTTTACACCACATTATCAACTGATGCTCTAATTGGCAAGCCAGAGCTCTGAGACTCTTGTCCCTTCCAAGGCTCAGACATGAAGTCACAGAAGGAAAAACCAAACACAGTTCCAAAGCAGCTCATGGGACAACCTGGCACAACTCAGCTGTGATCAATCACATCCTTTTGCAAGATAAAGGCTGAAGTGTTCAAAAGCAGGTGGGCTACTGGCAGGCAATCCACCTCAACAGAATACACAGATAAATGACATGTACTTTTTCTTACCTGATATGCGTTGCCGGAAGGGACTCATACTGGCGAGAAAGGAAGAGCTCTCTGTGCTTCAACTGATGTTTCTGTTTATCAGTCATGTCAACCTCAACTGTAGTTTCAGACTCTTCTTCAACTTCTTCTGCAGAAAAGCAGAGCGTAGGTCGAAATTAACTCTGTTGTGTAACATCACTGCAGCCATTTCACTTGACATCCACCCCACCCCTTAGCAACCTCCCTTAGTATTTCAAAGAAAAGATGAGTTTAACAAGACTACAGTTTATGTAACATGACAGAATATTAAGTCTTTTGAATTCTATACCTTCTACTTAAACTCTTTAAAAAAATCATGCTCCTCTCCCACTGTACTACACGTTGCCTTTCACACAGCTGTAAGAACTATCCTGTCAACATTATTCATTCTTTTTTCATCTTCTTTCATCTGTTTTTCATCTGGGGGTGCCTCTTGCTTGCTGACTTGTTCTGGTTTAGAATTTCTGTTGCTGATATTGGTATTACTGTAACTTTTACAGAAGTCCTGGGGAAAAGCATACTTTCTATGAACAAAAATTTACTAACACACTATTCCAATTTAAGACTGCCAAATCACAGTGAGAAAACTGATAAAACCTACTGTTAACCTTATTAGATATTGACAACACAAGAGTTTATTTTCACATTTAAATAAGATTTTAAATTATTTCTATTTTAAACAAGACAGCACTAATTAATCTTAAAAACAGCATGTATACAGCAAGTTGTAAATTATATAGTTCTTTATGAAAGATGTTTTCAGTTGAAAACTATCTTTTATAGTTACTCTGATCTGAAATTCTCTAGTATTACCTTGTATATGACAAACCAAGGAACTAATTTCTTTTTAAAGATTTAAACTAGCTGTAAACTGGGAACATAAAGGAAGAAATAAAAGCAGATACTAGAAACTGTCACATACAGAGTTAAAGAGCAATGTTCACAGTGATTGCTAGTATATAATACGATGACAAGCTCTCCAAAACGGCTACCCCGTGATCTTCATGGTTGAAATCTTCCTTCCTAGTGGATTCCTGGGACATGTGGCGCTTGAATCTAGACTTCCTCTAGCTTCCCAGAAAGGACATACAGACTCCGTGAATACTGTACGCAGAACTACAAACACTGAATCTCTAAGATTTGGCAATTTTCTACCTGCTAAATGATCCATCAGCTGCAAATCTAAGTGTACTTTATAAAACACTTCTCAGAAATTAAACAGTGAAACCTCAGCATTAGGTAGTAGTTCACCAGATCACCTCATCTGCTCTTCCAACAATAACCATTTTCACAAACAACCTACAGATGCTATCTCAAAATGAAGCCTGCCTGCATCCTCATGGCAACCACAGCAACCTCTCCAAATGCAACACTATGATTTTTTTATCATGCCTGTGTGAAGCTCATTCCACTTCTAATTGTTCTTTCCACAAAAGTGATAAAGTAACACACTTTTATATAACCAACTTCTTTAAACCCAATTCCATTCATTTTAAGTCTACCCTGCTGTGCCCCCCGCCCCCTAGTCACCTTCCTTGTTTTGGCATGTTTTGTGGGGAGATAGAATAAGAAAAACAAAAATGAAAACAAGACTCCTCCCAATTTCACCTGACACCCCACAGCCCCACCTGACACATATACAGGTTCAAGCCAGACCACAACGCAGTTCAGAATTATTCTGGCATCTATGATACTAACAATAAATAAAGCTTAAAAAAAAAAAAGTGCAAAGGCAAAGCATTTTTTAAATTAAGCAAGTCATTAAAGAAAAAAAAGAAATTAATATTTAAAAGTTTATGCTTCAAGCAATTAATAACTATGACTGTTTATTACAGTAAGTGGCCATTACAAGCCACATTTGTATTTCAAAGTTCAAGCATTAAAATTTCTTCTTAAAATGCCAAGACATGCTAGTGGTTGCTTTATTGTTTTTGTTTTGTTTTTTTAATAAATGTACTGTTTGTAGTATTCTACAGGTCCAAAGTTCTCAGTCGGTTATTTATTTCCTCTCTCCTTCCTGAAAAATACCAAAGCAAGCTAATCTTGTGTTATAAGCATCTGAAAACAGCTGACAAAAACCAGTCTGTTACACATTCAAACACAGGTGTCTGGGACCATTTTAGACTGACATATCCAAAACATCTGTCTATAGATATGGCACAAAAGACAGCAGAATATGTCCCATTATAAAGTGGCTGCAGGGAGCCAGAGATGGCATTCCAGAGAGTTTAAAATTGCTTTAGACACCTATGCTCAAGTACCTTAATAGCTCCCTCAAAGTAAGGATTTAAATTTAAAAGTGAATTTAAAAAACCCAACTTTAATAATGTATTTATTGTACTAATCTTACATAAGCCAAGAAAGCATTGATCCAAGAGCCTGAAGCTGAAACTAAATAACTCTTACACACATCTCCTAAAACACTACAAACCTAAACATTATAACTATGTAACTTTTTCTGTTGTATTTTTGTTTTACTCATGATCATTATAAAACCAATACTAACAGTAAGATTTAGTAAAACAAGTAATAGTTTGCCTCAGCAGTTACACAAACCTGTACCAGGGAAGGAAACATTGGACAGCACAAAGAAATGAGAAAACTAGATTTGCTTGATGGCAATATAAAGAATTCCTCAACTGAACAAATATTTAGATAGCTGCTTTGAACCAGGTTTTTTGCATTGATCAGGCCTTAACACTTATTAGAAAAAAAGTGGTCACAAATTTCCAGGACTTTTAGAGATCTCTCCACCTTTTGACTCAGATTTGCAGCACACGTGGAATTTAATTTGCCATCCAAGGGGATATTATTCCCATCAAAAGGAGTGAAATGGAAGGTACCTACCATAAAATAGCACTAAGCTAAGCATATTTTCAGCGCTCAGGAAGAGAAATAAAGCAACAGCTCAGAGTGAGCAAGTATTTTAATGAAGCAATATGGTGATGACATACACAAGCCTCATTGTTCCAAGATTAGACAGAAAACAAAATTCCATTTAAAATTGTTCAGCTTAAAAATATTTTGAAAGTCTTAAATATGACTACAAAGATGAATGCAAGCAGTTTTTTGAAAATGACACAATCCCCTTCAAGCCTTGGACAATGTTTAAGATAATGCTGTTTCATAGTACTCGTCCAGGTTTACAAGAAATATTTCATTATTTAAAGGAAAAATCCTGGAGAGCAAAAGCAGGCATCTCCAGCGAGCTTTTAAAGCTTTAGGTCTATTTATTATACATGGGCTTTCCAATCAGTAATTGTAAATACTTACTTTGATCCCAAAAACCAGAGTGATCTGGTGATATTTTCAGTGGCAGTGCTGCAGACTTACCCTTTCCCATTTTCCTCTGATGTAAATAAGATTTAACTAACTCATTCAGGCAATGGATACTGGGAAGATACTGTAATCCTCACTCATTTTACATATGCATCACCACTTTCAGAAACATTATGAAGTCTGGTGGGTTTTTTTCCCTTTTCCATTTAATTTGTGGGATTCACTGTTAGAAACTGGTGGTGTTAGTGAGCATGAGAAGAGACAACTGTCCATGCTACCTAAACTTTTTATACAGTGTCTTTGTTTATAGTTAAGTAATGTGATGACTCAAGCTTGCCACTAGGAAGAACTGCTCGTTTTTATAACTAAAATAAAAATAAACTGAGGGCAAGTCTCTAGAAACACAATACTCTCATTTAATATAAAATGGTTTAAAAATATAAAAAAAAAAAAACAACCTGAAAGACACTTAAAGATTTAAATGCGACTCAAACCACTCTACAGATAACCATCAGCTAGCAAACAAGTTAAATTCCTCTAACATATGACTTAACTAAGTCAAAATAACCCATCACGTGCTCCCCTTGCCTACTGCAAGAGAAAGTAAGATAGATTAGTTCAAACACTGAAGACTGTCTTCACGGACAAGGAATATATCTTCAGTTTTAAAAGGAAGAAAAAAGTTCTCCTTCTATTGCCACCAAACTGCTGACAGCGTTATTTTCGGCTAGAGGTTGGCTGGATCAGAGAACCATAGAAAAACAGAGTAATTCAGGCTGAAAGGGGCACAGGAGGTCTTCTTTAGAAAACTCCTCCTCCAAGGAGGCCCAGCTGTGAGGTTAGCCCAGATTACTCAGCATTTTATGCAGTTGGGTCTTGAAAACCTGAGGACAGAGACCACACAACCTCTCCAGCAACCCAATTTTGGTGAAAAAGCTTTTCCTTAAATCTAATCTGATTCACTCCCGTTTCAATTTAGTCACTGCAAAGAGTCTAACTCCACCTTCTCTATAACCTCCCCATAGGCACTGGGAGTCCACCTCTTCTCCAAGCTCAATGGGCTCGATTCCCACAGCCTCTCCTAGCAGGGCAAGCGCCCATCATGGTGGGCTCTGCTGAACTGGCTCAAATTTATCAGCAACTTTCCTGTATCAAGATCCTAAAACTGGATGTGGTACCTAGATATGATGCAATGAGTGCTGAATAATCAGAGAGGATAATTATTTGTCTCAATCTACTGCCTATGCACCTGCTGATAAGTCACAGATGCTGCTGGCCAACTTCACTGCCAGGCAGTTGCTGTCTGCCAGCATCCCCAGGGCATTTCCTGCAGAGCTGCTCCCCCAAGCTCCTCTGTCCTCAGCCTGCACTCCTGCCAGGGGCTCTTCCTTCCCAGGTGCAAGACTTGGCATTCATCCCCATTAAGTACCTTCAGGTTTTCGCAGACCATTCCTCGTGCTTTCTAGGAATCCCTGACTACCAGCCCTTCCCTCAAGCACATCAGCTGGTCATCCCCCACGGTGTGGCATCACCTGCAAACATGATGCGAGTGCACCACGTTGCCTGCTCCAGTCACTGATTAAGACAGGTCCCCATATAGATCCCTGTGGGACTCCCCACACAGTAGGAACCCTTAACCACCACCCTCTGACTCAGACCATGCAATTAGGGTTTTTTTATTCACCTATTTGTCCCTTAATCCAAATCAATTCCAATTCCTTGGCCTGGTGTGCCTACCAAAAATGTTAGTGCTGGCACAAAAGGAAAAAAAGCAGGAATAAGAGACCTAAACCAGAAAGATATGATGGGAAAAACCAAGACCATTCCTTT